ACACACACACACACACACACACACACACACACACACACACACACACACACACACACCTTCCATAGGGATGTGGTAGCCATTCTTTCAGCTAAAAAAATATATCATTAGACTTTGGCTCGTCGAGCCCATTGCGATGCAATGCGTGACTTCTTAAAGATTTATCGACCTCAAAACTCTATTTCCAGCATCCCCATAACTATCTCTTACTACGACATCTCTTTTGAAAATTCTAATTTTTTCCTCGTGCTATTTCTTCATGGCCAATGACACTATAATCTAATCTTTCATTGGCGTCCAGTAAACTTGCATAATCGGTGCGTATAGGCAACCGTCGTGACTATCAAAATCGATTGATTTTTAGGCACAATAATTTTTTTGCCTAGATTTCTGAATTAACTTTCTACGAAGACGATCTTCATTAAAAATCTGTACGGTCTATTATTAAACGATGTTTGTGTCTGTAAATTCAAAATTACGACAGGCGCAGCGATGAGTGACGGAATTCAGACCTTTGTTCAAAAACAAGTTTTTATTCACTTGCCGGGCCAGAGTATTTTCGATAAAAAAAACACTTGACATATATTTTATATTGGCCGTTATATATCAGCAGGCTGTCACTGCGAACTTTACAGCACGCTTCTTTGATACTTTCTATTTTCGTCCTACAGGGTGAGGCATGGGCTTCACGCGTACATTACTATTGACTAACATTAGATAAACAAACAGGGCGCCAATGTCGACGAACGGTCGATAGAGAAGCTTAGCAACTCTTTTTTTATATTCGGAAAAACAAACAGCACAACGCGTGTTCCAATGAATACTTCATATGGAGGTAGAGAGCACCGACCGAACACATACGAGGGTGCGTCTGAAAAGGGCACTCCGTTACTCCGTACACAGCGATCAGACCAAACTGCATGCAGTGCCCCTTTATACACTCCGGATACCAGTGTCACAATCAAACTCCACGACAGATGGCGCTCTAGCTCTGGCTCAATTCTACGTATATTCTGAGTGTGGGAAGGAGGCGCTGCATGCAGTTTGTGCCACAATGCTAGCACTATTTTCAAAGTGGGCGGAGCTCCGGGAAAATCCAGCGAATGGAGATTCGTAAACAGCGTATGATTTGAAAAAGGTAATTGGGCGCACAATCCGCGTACTATTTCGTATCAATATTTTATCAAATTTTTCATGAAATAACGGTCGGATGAGCGCTATCTGTCTTGGAGTTTGGCCACAAGGTTAGTACTATTTTTCAAGTGGGTGTAGCTCCGGGGAAATCCAGCGAATGGCAATCCAACGGCCGCGAAGTCCCCGGCCGCCGAACAAAACATCAGAAATTTCTGTTTTGCATGTTTGTTGGTGGACAAATTTAAAAGTTTTAAGCTGAATACGCAAAAATTTCTCAAAGACAATATTCGAGAATTAGGTATATTGGCAAGCATCCGAAAATTTCATGATAAATATTAAATAAACACGTGAACTTAGTTTAGTAAACAGCGTAATTATTTGAAAGTAGTAAATGGGCGCACAATACGCGCACTATTTCGTATCACTATTTTATCAAATTTTTCATAAAATAATGGTAGGTTTTTTAATATCTTTGCAACTTTTATTAGTACAAATCTTATTACATAGGATACGAGTAACCTGGTCACTGTAAAACTTGTGGTAAAAAAGCGTTACATATAACGGAAAATCTACTTGTGGCAGTGGTGAATTGAGCCAGAGCAAGGGCGCCATCTGTCGTGGAGTTTGCGATCAGACCTGATTGGACAGTCGGTGTACTACCGCAGCAGCCATATTGTTTCCGGTATAAATCTGCACGCGAGCGCTACAAGCATGTGGGTAGATTGGTTCACACGGGAGAAACATAAGCAAGCGAGTTGTTCGAATAATCCCATGCTAGAGCGATTCTCTTCGCAATGTCCAATGGATACAGCTAGAACTAACTAGTCACAGGCCAAAACAGCAATTCCATAAACGGCATTGAAGATCCAATGCCTAATTATTATTTCCATCAACAATTAACTTACCTAAGGGGAAAATGGGTGAATACATGATCGTAGGTGAGTCTATTCTCACCACCGGCTGAAAAACAGAGCTCTATGTTACAAGCTGCCACCCCACAACACCCGCCTGCGTGGTTTCCGACATCTCACCAACACGACTCGTTTCAGATTCTCGCGTTCTCCATCCCCAGTTTTCCATCTAATTTGATTAATATGTCTTAACGTGAATGGCTAACGGTTTTAAAGCGATTCTACGTTTTGCGTAGATATGATATCGTAACCTTGGTAATAGGCATGATGCGATAACCTGAAACCTGGATTACGATATCGTGTCTGCGTTTTGCCACATGACGTGTAGCCGCTGGACGTAATGTACCTTAAGGAGGCAATGACACCAATGACAAACTAAGAGAGCTACACGGAAAACGGAGAAACGAGACACGAGACAGGCATGTCGGTGATGACGACGACGGAAAACCAGGCAGTGCGTGTGTATGTGTGCGTGACAGTACACTCTCGCACACGCGCACACACACCTGCTAGCAGTGGACGACTGCTCTTCATTGCTGGCTAGAGAAGCACGCCTTTGAGTCTGACCCGAGATAGCGGAGGACCTGTGGTTAGAACAAAATGCTCGCATTACACCTACTGCCTACTAGCCACGTGACGATGTCTCTATTTAACATCTCCTATTGAAGCCATTTCATCTTCGCCGGCGCCCTTAACTGCATGACTAGGCACATTCGCAACGCAGACATTCTCATAGGATGATGCATTGATTCATCGGACGTCTATTGCCCAGAAGATCCGTTAATTTAAATGTGAAAAAACCAAACCAATATAATACCGAATCAGAGGGCGAAATTTCTATAAACTACATTATTATCGAGTCGGTTTTTTGACGTATTTTCTTGTTAGAGTTCTATAAATATAGGTTAGGCGTATGTTTAGAAACATATCGTATAACATATCATAAACAGGCGCTAGTGGCGTCTAATGCACATGTTACGCGAAAATTAATCAATAAAGTGCGGTTGATTAATCAGAGCAGTAGATCGTCGGACGAATGTAGCATTAAAGCAACTTGGCGAAACATCACGGTGAAAATGCCGGAGGTTAGCTGCAGACAATAAGCACACGCTGGTAACACCCGTCGCAAAATAAGTCAGAGCGTAGAAAATCATTGCACGTGCACACACCCAACTTAATTGTGTGTTATATACTATCATCCATATCAGTAGCGTATTGGTAAAAATCGGCTAATTGAATTGGTTCATTCGTCTCGAACTAACATTAATTTCCTCGTCCATCCAACTGAAGGCGAATGACTATAATAACGTCACAAACAGACTCGTAAGTCAGACTCAAACAAAGACAGCGGAACTACACAGAAATATCTTAACAGTGTGGAGAATTTATGGCTCTATATATATATATATATATAGCTTTAACATTTTAGCGTGAACTTCGCACCACGCACTTCTACAGCATTGAAAAACAGCTTTTTTGAAGGAAGGAATACATTATGTACATTTTCCCCAAAACGCCAACTGCGTTAAATCACGCGTTGCGCCGCGTGCAGACAAACATACAACCACACAAAGCGCATTATAACAAAGTAGGTAACGAAGAATGTTAAAATCTTTCGAACAAAGTAAATTACGAACAGCCCAATTGGTGCATCACACTCCATGGATATTACCAAGAGTCTATAATAGAATATTTCCATAGTCCATAGTCTATTATGGACTTTTGATATTACTTGATAGGTGGGCCTAAATTATATCTGCATTTTCGGACATCCAAAATTTTATGGCCTTGCATGGAAATTTTGTGTGTACGGTTATAGGTACTGTGTAGAAGCAACACGTAACAAAAACATGAAGTGACGTATGCATGAGTGACGCGGCAACCTAGATCTAATATTGCCTTTATCTATTTTATAGATGCTATAGAATATTATAAAGTTATGAATGTAGATGACTGGCAGCATTAGTATTTCATAATAGGAAGAGCGATAATTTAGCCACGATCTTGCACTGTATCATACTGGGTTCCTTATTGTACGGTGTTCACGCTTCATCGAGCCTCGGATAAATTGGCGCATCGATTAAATAACATCTAATCATCATTGTTTTTGAAAAATATAGGCGTGAGAAGCAAAAGGCTCCGCTTGATTTTTCAATAATTTTATAACTAATTTTAGATTCATAAAATATATGCTTGTAACTTACCGGTCATCATCCCTGGATGGTGTACTCCTAGATGACGCTGAAAGGTAAAGCAATAATTGCAACAATGACCATAATATGTAAAACTAGAAACTAACATACAAAACAACAAAAGGTATATTATATGGGCGCGAAATAATCTATATTGTAATAGCAAACACCGCTACATAATGTACACAACTAATACAAAATTCAAAAAAGCACTGCAATAACAATCAACAAGTACGTATACTTGCTTACTAGCACGTATATGAGGGAAAATGTATTCTTACATTAATGCTCTAAAGTGCAAAACTTTCGTTAATAGAAAACAAAGTACAGAGGTGCCAATGAGCTATTTTTACGGGCATGAGCCAAAGCCGAGGCGCATCTGTCTGATTCCCATTACGAGAATAAGTGATGACTCACCGTCGTTCTGTAACCTGCTAAGATCGTCAACATTTGGCATCTGCCCGTATCTCATCATTATCGAGAGGGTTGAATCCGTCTGTCGTCGGCTCGGTGCTGGTTCCTCGGTCCGGGTGGAGCCGTAGCGGGTTCCGCTTCCGGTATCACCATCGTCGCGGTTGCTGCCGGCCCAGCTGTACCGACTACCGGTCGTAGTGGACTCGTTATCTCTATCGCGCTCTCTGTCGCGCATGTAACTGGACCGGTACGGCGACGTAGATCTCGTGCCCGTGCTGCGGTAGCTGCTTGTGTCGGCGATCGTGCTCGCCGGCGACTGGTGCACGTCTATCTGCGGGATAATCAGCTGCTGCGGTTGATTGAAAACGCGTCCGCCGACGACCTTGACGTCGCCGAACTTGTTCACCTGCTGGTGGAGGTCTTCGCCGTCGGCGACGAAGCGCACGCGCGCGTGGTTGTCCATGCAGTCGAGGCTCAGCTGTCGCACCGTCTCCAGGCTCTCGAGCAGGTCGCGTTTCAGGTTGGCCATGTCCTGATCGGTGATGTCGCTCTTTGGGTCGCGCACCTTCTCCTCGTAGGCGGCGACCAGATTCGTAATGTTGTCCTTCTCCTGCTGCAGGATGCCCATCTGCGACTGTACGATCGAGTTCTCCGAGCGCGAGACGTTCTCGACCTGCGAGACGAGCAGCTGGCCGCGGTCCTGCAGCTCCTTGGCGAGCTTCTTCACGAGGTCCTGTATCTCCTGCTTGATGCTGTCCAGGTTCTGCTTCTGGCGCGTCGTGTCGAGGTTCAGCGAGTCGATTGCCTCGACGAGTCGTGGCAGCGTGCGCTTCGCTTGGTTGAGCAGACGAACCGTCTCGCGCCGCAGCGTGTCGATGTGGCCCTTCTTGCAGTCGCCGCAGATCTTGCGGTCGCAGTGTCCGCACTTCGAGAGGCTCGCGTTCTCCTCGCAGTTGGCGCACTGGCCGTACTGCGCGAACTTCTCGATTATGTCAGCCATTTCTCCATCGGCGGGCGCCGGCAGAGCCAGCATCGCTGTGGGCAGCTCGAGGAACTTGCACAGCGTCAGATTGTTCGGGAAGTGGTCGAGGCCCTTGAAGGGTATGTGGTGCTCGGCACGACACTCCGGGCATTTCACCTGACGGCGCACGATATCCTCGCATCCTTCGAGACATTCGAAGCAGAACGTGTGCTGGCAGGGCAGCAACTTCGGGTTCCGGTAGCGGTCGAGGCAGATCGGACACATCAGAAGTGACTCCAACTGTTTCATGTGGTACGCATACTCGGCGTCCACCTCCGCGGGCGTGCTTGTCCCACTCATCGTTGCCGTTGTTTTCTCCATCTCTTGTTCTACTGGCACGGATTACCTATTGATAGTAGGCGCGATAGATATACGCGCCTGCTTGCTTCCGCACGTATTCTCCACGGATGCGGTACTCGCAAGAACGAATGCGCACAACTGTTCAAACTCCCGTCCAGCGTCTAGAACACGGTAGGTTGCGACCAGACTTCTTAGCTCGCCACACATGTGGATGGCAGACGCGTCGGCATCTGAAACATAGAGAGAGGGAGGCTGAGATAATATGCAACTAAATACACAACGGCAGTGCGCCGGCGCGTATATACACATCTACCAATCCGGGGTACAGTGTAAACTCGTGTACGCACTAGGGCTTCAAGTCACCGAGGACATACTCGAGAAAAATATACAGCTATAGCAGCACGGCGCGAGATGCATCCGCTCTCCTCTCCCTCTCTCGTGCTCTGTCTTCGGCTGACTGCTAGCTATACACTGATGCCGCCGGGTGCCGCGTGCGAAACTTTAAATAACTCGTGAGTAAATAGTGCTGCTGCCGCAGATGCTCAGTCAACTGTTACTGTGGCTCGGTATCAGTTTCAGCCTGCCTCCTCGGCAGCCAGCCCAGAACCGCCTCCGCACGCCGCCATCACATGACCCGTTTGCGTCACTGTGTGTGCGCGTGCGTGTGTGCGTGCGTGCGAGCGTGCGTGCGTGCGTGCGTGCGTGCGTGCGTGCGTGCGTGCGTGCGTGTGCCTGTGCGTGTGAGAGCGAGCGCGCGCACGCGCGTGAGTGTTTGTGTGGGCGGGCGAGTCCGTATATACGCGCCTGTATATGACTAGAAAGAGGCTTCGCTGCCGTCACAATAATGCCGTTTTCATTCTTTTAATTTCGCAACTTTAGATGGTGAGCCTCAAACTGCATGAAGAGCCGATATAGTAATGCCTCGAATAAAACTCAAATGATATTAACTTTACGCGGCGATGAATCGAGCAATTAATTTGACTATAGATAATATTGAAGAGTGTCATCACATTCTAAGTGAAATCAGATTATCATAAGACGAAAGGTAATACGTGTTGAGTCATTGTTTACTAACTTGAAATAAGCCATGGTGTCAAAAACCCACATACAGACAGCTGTATTCAGCAGAACAGCAGTATTCAGCAGAACAGCAGTATTCGGTCTGTCACATGAACTTGGGTTCAGAAACCTTGACTTTATGAGTGGGGGGGGGCTTCTAAGCTTTATGCCGAATAGGGAAAAAATTGTTAGAAACATTTCATGTCTATTTATAATTATAGACCTTTCGCGAATATTCGCGGGTTTTGTCGAGTTATTTCAGATCGGTGAAGCACGCCTATACGAACAGTTTATTAGTTTTTGGATTGAGGTGACTTTGCGCCAACTGCATAAATAAAGACAAGGCCTGGGAGTAATTTAATTTTACGCACCTCAGAACGTCCATCATTACAATCCAGCTTAATTCATATAATAAACTGATGTAATGGGACTGCGGGAAGTTATGCATTTTTTTGTGTAAGCAAAATGCATTTGCACCAGACACTGCATGTTTGTTGTGTCTACGAAGATCTCGTTATTTTTTAAGTAACGCGACTTTGCCCGAAATTATCAACGTTTTACGAAGATGACAGAGTTCCTGAGAAAAGAATGTATAGGGTTTCTAACATCCTAGATTCCAGGCAGCCATGTGTGCGAATATGCATTATAGTTGCTATAACCAATACAGCATAGCAAAAACACGCATGCATAGCCAGTTAAATTAATTAAAACATGTCACAAGTTGCGGTGTTATATTTTTGTATCACAGGAATGACATTTTTCATAATTACTCTAAGAATTTAAGAATTTACTTCATAAATCCCCAATCATTTCAAACGAGTCGAGCCGCGCTTTTGTACTTAAAACTGTAGGCCTATGATTATAACAAAAATTTTGTTCAAATTCAAATTTTCTAAATGATTTTTTGTACGAATTACTTTTTTTACGTATTATTTGCGCATATATAATATATATACATGTGATCATGCATTATTATTTCATCATTTTCACCTTCATCATAATTATTTAGGCCTATATCATTCCTATTCATCCTATTCTTCCTATTCATCATTCCTATGGATCTATATCAAGAGTTAATATTGACAAATTATTTGTCATTATTAACCCCTGATATATATATATATATATGTATATATATATATATATATAATATTATATACATATGCCTCTGGATTGCCCGCTGCACTGGCCTCGATCTGCACCGCCTACTCAAAAACTTATTTAGTTGTAAAACCGGACAAAAAGTACAAAAGGGCTCTGATTAAACCAACAACCAATTTTCATAGATTTGCAACTAATTTGCACGTGTGTTTTCTCAGTGTTCTACTTCTATACTGGAGGTGTTTTTTTTTTTTTTAATTCTCATAGTTTATTTGGCTCGATGTCGAGGATCGTGATATTCTATAGACTATATAGACTGGTACTCGGTCCCACCTCTCGGCTTAGTTACCCATCCATCGAGTAACCATAGATATAAACAAGTTACAACTTACAACACATGTTGTATATATTATCTATGCATAGATATATACAACACATATATATGTGTATGTTGTACACATATACATCTGTGTACAATCTGTGTACATCTGTACATATACAGTAACACACATACACATGTTGTATATATCTATGATCTATGGAGTAACTAAGCCGAGAGGTGGGTACCAGTCTATAGACTATATGGCGTAGTGCGGGTCATAGTTCCATTTGACCCGGAAGCATATTACTCTTAGCCAAAAGCATATCCGGTGAGTAAGCAAGAGTTGTTATTTTCCGTACCGTGGACGACAGCGCCTGTATACTGTGCACATCACATGCACACTGTCCTTAGAGCACGGATGGTGTCATCAACAAGAACAATATTTAAATATAGGTAATGTAGTAATAATATACATATCAGTTGCAGTCCTTTAGAGTATGAAGAATCTTCTTTATGAATTATATTAGTGATCTACCTAGGTCCGACTCTAGGCTTATCCGAGTTGTCGTATCCACACTACAGGCACTTGGACCGTTTCAATAATAAAATGATGGTTAATAAATACGCAGTGGCTGGAGGTACGCCAGCCGTCGGTCGTTCAAGCCCCTTTTTGTCGTTAGGGTTAGGGTTAGGGTTAGGATTAGGGTTAGGGTTAGGTTTAGGGTTATGGTTAGGGTTAGGTTTAGGGTTAAGGTTAGGGTTAGGTTTAGGGTTATGGTTAGGGTTAGGTTTAGGGTTAAGGTTAGGGTTCTAGCTCATCTAAACTCTCAAATCGTGAATTTATTTCCCAAGGCGTTATTTCGAAATAATCTCGCCACCGCCGCCATCTTTGTCTCGTTAAGTATGAAAGCCAATGGACTGGCGTACCCGTAGCCTCGAGACATTAAGATACGCCTGGCGTACCCGTAGCCACTGCCTAATAAATACAACTTGTCAGTACTACTACTAGACCTCCCGGCGAGTAGGGTCGCTTCAACGCATTTTTTTCGACACTTCCTGTTAACTCACATCATGTTGCAAGAGTTGGAGCGAGAATCTGCCGGTGACTTCGTGGGGTTCATGCGGATGGAGTCTGGCATGTTTCACGAGCTGTTGCTGAGTGTCGCCCCTCGCATCACCAAGGGCCAACTGCTAGTTTTCTTCTTGAGAGGCATCCTGGATACTAACTTTGATTAAATGAAGTGACAAATGTCAAAAATTTGGGCAGAACTTCGATGTATCCACTGGAAAATCTCTGCAGCAAATGGTAGGCAACAGACCGGGCCTCGTTATATAGTCGGGAGACGGACGCGCGAGTGACCCACGAGTGACCCACGGGTGACTCACGAGTGACCCACGAATGACCTACGACTGTTGTGCACCAGTCGCACGACTGTAGCATGTGCATCCCACGAGTGAACCACGACCTGTTCACGTAAAAAACAGCCCCCCGACAATGCCCGACAACTCACGACTGACGCACGACTGACTTGCGACACACCCACGACATATCTTTTTTTTCTGTCGCGTCCCCATCGCCAAACCATCTTTGATGTGTCGTAGCACTTGTGACCACTCGAAATACATTTCGGGCGTGTTGCAAGATCTGGCCTTGACAAATATTTTATGAGTCCATCACGACAAAATTTCGTGCGATCTGTTGTGACCGGGGCTTTAGTGGTGTATCAGTCTACATCTATCATGTGAACAGTGAGAGTCCCATCTACGTTATCCGAGCACGTGGTATGCACTCCCAGTCTCTGATTATACCATCTCTCTATCTGTGCATGGGTCATGATGAGAGAATAGGGGACAGGCATCATGTCAGCACACTGTAATTGTAAAGCTGGGCTTGGTGAATTCTGCTCACATGTTGCCTCGGTGCTATTTTATTTAGAGTATGCTGCAAGTGCAAGAGAAATCACCACCCCCACTCAAACAGCTGCCTACTGGATGCTGGCGATATATGTATATAAGTGTAAATGTGTAGCGGCGTGCGGTGTACCTGTGTGTTGCAGAGGAGCATTTGACCGACATTTACAGGTAATTATCGGCAATACAAGGCGAAAGAGAGTAGAGAAACATTGGTAGTAAATACATTTTGTGTTTATTCAGCATTGCTTTTTTATTGAAAATGCTCCAAACGTCTGTGGTCCGCCTGGTCTCTCGTCACTTTACCTTGTGTTCTGATCACGCTAGGCAGCCTAAAAAAGCTGTGTGGCTCTCTCTGATACCGATTGCTGCAGTTGACAACACCGCAGGAAAGCGGCGTTGTGATGGATTTGCTTAATAGGCGAATAAAATGAGCAGAGGTGCGCTGCTCAATGTACTTGTACCATGCCTGAGCTGGTTTCTGTAATCGTCATGGCCGGCGGCATTGAATTGTGGGTAATATGAAAAATTGCAGAACCCTCTATACATTTACTGATATAGTGATTTTCAGCACTACGAATTCTATATTAATTGCAGTTGTGTGAAAATTTAATAGCAGTTCTTAGCGATCTCCAGCTAGCTGAGTAAACTCCTTCTTTACACTCGATCGTGAGCTGACACAGGAGTGTAAAAGTGCAAACAATTTTTAACAAATCTATAAACAATACATTGAAACTTATCTAACCTACCTAACAGCGTTACATTACTAATGATTCCTTGTATCAACCACAGGCAGAGATGACAGGTTTGATAGAGATTCCATTTCTCGATTTGGAATTCTATGAGAAACTTGGAGGTGGTGCATATGGAAGTGTCTATAGAACACTATGGAAGTCTAGGAATCTTATTGTTGCTGCAAAAAGGCTGCTCGTTCTGGAGAATGAGGTGAATTCAGATGGATGAGATCTGTCTATTGAAGTACAGAATTTAATGAAACATATCAACTGGTGACATTTCAATATGTCATATTACAATATTTTATTAAGCTATGTAGCGTGACACAGACATTTATAAATGCATATTAGCAACACTGGTATCATTTAACTATAAACTAGATACAAGATACAGAAGTTTATATGGTAAATATTAAGTGAGATATTGGGTTTATTTATCTGCACTACTGCAACTCAACTGTATGACACTGAAAAATACATGTCTTTTCATTGTTTTCCTCTTGCTAGAATTTGAAGCTATTATATTTATTTTCATTTACAGGCCAATGTTTTAAGCTCACTAAGTCACAAAAATATAGTGAAATTCTTAGGAGCAATGACAAAGGAACCCAATTACTATCTTGTAACAGGTAAGTTCAAAAAGACTTTTTTGCTACTAACCTGTAAAATTATTGTGAAAGAGGTATATATGGTCACTAACCTCTGTGATAACTAGCATATCCTGCACATTCAAAATCATGCATTGTGCTTATTATCATATCCTAAGTGATGGTGGTACAATAAATTATTGGTTTTTGCATTAAAAAGTCAATCAACTAGAAATTGTGTTTAGCTACGCATCACTAATTATTTATTCAACACTATATATTGTACAGATTTGTAAACAAATGCAGAAATACATATAATGTGCAAGAACTTGTATTTATATGACCACCGGATTTATGTGAATCTTGTCAGTCTGGTGTAAAGCTTGTAAAACCTTAAATCGTTTTCACAAGTAGTCATGTGCTAATAAGCCTGTCATTAGTCATTTATGAGTTATGATTGACTTAATTGATTCAATCATCATATGTACATAATTCTTCAAAGCTATGTTGGTTTACGAGTTGTTGTCAGTATTGAAGTTGATATTCTCTATGTCAGAGATATATATGCAGAGCAATCTGTTAGAAAATTGTGGTGCACCATGGGCAATATAATCATTAGGATTGTATAAAAATATAAAAATATATATTGGTTTAGTATCAAACATAAGATGTGAAAATGCATTTTGATTTTTGTTTACTTTTCATAGAGTATGCAGAGAATGGCTGCCTGTATGATTATCTACGAGGCTCAGATGACAATGGAAATGAATTCGCCAGACATCCTCTTGACTTTCAGCAAATACTCAAGTGGGCTCGAGAAATTGCATTAGGTAGGCATGCTGATATTGCCATTACTCTTAGGTTGAACTTGCAACAGTCTTGACTGCATAAGTCTGTAACCACTTCAACCCCTTAGTAATATTAGTCCTTGATCTAATGAGCACAGGTTAACTCAGCATGTGTTTTTGTTGTAACATTCGTTTGCTATGTTTGCCAGTTTGGTTGGACACCTAAATTGTCTGGTGCATGATAGGTATCTATTTAGTCATCTGTTCGGCAAACGTGTCAAGCATCACCCCTCCCCCTCCGAGCCACGTAGTGTGTTTATCAGCAAACATACTTGGCCAGGAAGTCCCGTGTTTGAATCTCTGTTGGTGCGTAGAACCTTCCACGTATGTTGGCATAGGTCGTGAACTGTTGGGGAAGAAATATATATTTAGGGTATCATAACCCAGTTGTTTACGTTCTCGCCCATAAATCGTGGATCACCATTGCGACCATGGTTGCACTTTGTTTGTCCATCGCACACGAACACATCGGTTTTATATTGAATACACAGGTATTAACTACCTCCACACAGAGGCACCAGTGCGAGTCATCCATAGAGATCTGAAGTCTAAAAATGGTATGTGCTTTATTGTATGAGGAGACATAGCCAGTACCAAAGTGGAATATTGCATACAAGTAGAATTGTTTATTTTTCGAGCAGGTGTAATTATCCTTCAATAAAGTTATGGCAAAAATGATCTTTTCAGATTGCCAGTGGAGTGTAATTTCTCATAATTTCAATCATTTCTAATTAGGTAGTGTGCAATAAATAACCTACATGCATTGCCCTGATTACCTTCACACATCTCCTGCTTGTGTGTTTGTGGTTTACAATGTACGATGCCGGATATCTCATAACACACTTTGTGTGCTATTTTATTGTGACCGTTTTCTACAACTCGGGGGGGGGGGGTTATGCAGCTGTTTCTATCATGATGTCCGACAATGGTGTCTGGAGATCACTGTGAAAATTGGGTGCTTTTTATGTTCACTGTGACTTATTTTGACTGCAGAACTATTACGTCTATCCCTGTAACGTCTATATACGATCTATAACTTCTATAACAATGATTTCTGTTTCAGTTGTACTGAGCATCGATATGAAATGCAAGGTAGGCATTTCTAAATCCATAATAATAGCTTGAAATGGAAGTTAGCACAATTATTCATATGAAACAGGTTAATTTTAATAGAGTTAAAGTAACATTGCAGCTACTGGTTTTATCGTGTAAAGTATTTTCGTTGTGTTAGTTGCACTCTTCCGGTGATGCATTTGGTTGCGGTAAGCAGTAGGAGCTATGGAGGGAAATCATGGTGTGGCACATCAATATAGACTCATTAGGTTACCATGTGTACAGTAAAGTAAAACATGATGTTCTGGTTGGAAAGTTCAGAAGTGGTTAATCATGAGTGTCACTTAGGAATTCAGTGATGACATTGAGTATTTAAAGACCTCGTTTGGCACAGTTTATTTTGAGCTAATATCGATATTACCTTTATTTTTACCTGTTATTTGTCAATCAGATAACTTTTATCAAATTTCTAAGAGTGTTGGTCAATGTTATTATTGCTATGCTTGACTTGATTGGCTAGAGGTTATTCGTAATCAAACAAGTGGCCACTTTTTATTACACTACAGCTAGGTGTAATGCCATTAAATGCTACAATGAAAAGAGTGGTCTCTTGCATTGTCTGTAATCAAACTGTTATTTTGTATATTATCTATTGCATGAATATATGGATGTAATATGTTTATGTACATGTGTTTATTCTGATGGTTATAGGATATATGTGCTAGTAAATTTATACTTATAAACTTGATTGCAGATATGTGATTTTGGGGCCAGTCGTTTTGTGATGAATACAACCAAGATGTCATGGGCTGGGACAATACCTTGGATGGCCCCAGAGGTAAGCAGAATATGAACATTGCACGTAACATATACACACTACAGTCTACAGCTACACAGTGGTTAGAGTGTTAATTTGTATGTGACAGAGTCGGTTGTTCGTCTCTGTAATTTCTTACTGAAAATGATATCACGAGCTTCTTTTCTTATGTAAACTGTATTTGATGTTCATGTATATTTTACAAGCTGTATTTTCTGGCAGGTGATACAGAGTCTGCCAGTATCTGAGGGCTGTGATGCATGGTCGTATGGTGTTGTAAGTATTATTTCAACTGTTCAATTTAACCGAATGGTGTGTTAATTCATACCAAGTCTTGGTAGCCATTGTAAGCGCGCTTACAATGGCTACCAGAAACAGCACCGCACACAGAAAAACTGATCATTGTTTGCATGTAACTATAATTATGCTCATTGTAGTTCATGAAATTTTATTATGAATCATGGTAGTGATTGGGTTAATTATTAAATTCTCCAAGCATTGCAGACACGTTGAGCCTTTTCAGTTATTCGTCAGGTATATTTATGTGAGTGTTTGGTAACGTTTTCAGGTATTATGGGAATTGCTCACGCGTGAGATCCCATTTGAGAACTTGGAGGGCTTCCGAGTGTTCTGGGTGGTCGTCCAAGATGGAGGGGTGAATGCAATTAAATTTATATTTAGTTGCCAAAATCGATGCTTTCGTAAGAATACAAATATACAAGTATTATAAGTGTTGTCTGTGAGGTCACGGTCAATTTTGCTAGCATGCCTTTTTAGGCAAACCTTGTCAGTATGTGAAGTTTCATGTGGTGTAAATATCATCACTTTTATTGCAGAGGTTGATGATTCCCACTACGTGCCCACCGAGCTTTGCAAAATTAATGAAATGGTGCTGGGAAACAGATCCAAAGGTTAGTCATCTTAATCTATTTATAGTTACGTTTATATTTAGATTGTAGATCAAGATGTAAAGGATGATTTTGTTTAGAATCAATGTAGCATCTACATACTAACTGCGCTTAATTTGCACTTGACACGCAACATACTTGTGTCTTAGATGTAAGCAGATATAGCTAATTAACTTATAATAATTAACTATTTTGATACAATCATTAGTTAATAATTAATATTAATTTCAGAAAAGACCCACGTTCCGTCAGATCTTGCTGAGTTTGGATCACATGAGAGGCGATCGTAAGAGTGTTGTTTTTTCATTTATATTTTTATCAGCATCTCGTTATTGAGGCTATAGCTCATCTGCAATTAATTACAAGTAGTTGCTACAGTACACTTGTAAATCTTAAGTAAAAATAAAATGCACTACTTGCATGCTGCAAATCTTGTTTATGCATGCGAATTTTGTATCATTGTCTAGGTATGTCAGTATGTAAGGAAGATGTGGTTTTTGAGATTGGTGTATGTCAATGAAGCAATGTGATAATAGAGCTAGTAGTAATGTAGTTAATGATTTTGTTTCAGCTGCTCTTGCTGTATTGACAAATTCATTCCTGGAGAATAAGAAGGAGTGGAAGTAAGTATGGGCTAGGAAAAATATGCATAGTTGTGAATACAGTACTCCTTGAGATGCTATATGATGTAATGAATTGAAAATCAATCTGTGTTATTAAGGATAATCTCCACCTTTTGCGCGGGTATTGCTCTAATGAAGATTAAATGTTTATTGATGAATGAATCGAATCAATCACTTGTTTTATTTAAAGAGGAGATATATATATATATCTCTATGCTCAAGCCAAAAAATTTCATTACATTTCCAGCACCAAATTATGTTACCACACAAATTTTGAATTTTTATGTAAAAATGCTATTTTGGATATTTCTCAATTACCAGAAAGAGTGAGGATACAAAATTTTCGCCAAATGTTAAGCACAATATGTACCAAAAATGGGCATCAGGATTTAAGTTTTATGTTTACCGATAAAAATGAAAAAAACTGCCTAAATGGAACTGCCCTGCCTGAACGTATTTGAAATATCTACTGTTAGTACTTACTGTGACATATCCATGACTAACTGCAACCACTAAATTGATTAAATCTTCTATGCACCTTGATAAATTGTACGAAATTCCCACACACCATGATTCGAAACGCGCCAAAAACGCCTACTGCATGACGTCACAAATCTGCATGTCAACAAACGCATGCCTAAATGCAAGGTGTGTAACTAGGGGAACAGGGCTATTTTCGGTGCACAGCAATTTCAACTATTACTGTAGAAGACAGCTGTAGATGCTGAATGATACCTGATGGTAATAGCCTAGTGAGTACCGTGAAAATTCTGGTTGTATCTTGTCTCTGACGTGATCATGACGTCAGCCGCGGCTCACTACACATGTACGCGGGCAATCAAAACGCTCTCTGGAAGTTCACATGTACCGTTATATGGAGAAATGAGCATGTACAGAGGCGGCACATAGTGTTAGCCATCGAATAAAGTTGAAAATGAAAAATCGGTAACATTTTGCCTAAAACCTTGAGAGTATATCCTTAAGTGCTACTTGTGTGTTTGTCATAGTGCTTTTTGGCAGAAACAAGCTGTAATTTTTGCTTTGGCTAGAAATTTGATAGAAACTGTGCTGCCATCTTGTGGTAAGCAAAGACTGTTATATTCTTGAGAGGGTTGTCTAACCATTACTGCTACATTACATCTTGAACTGATGACATGTGTTTAGCTGATCAACTATTTATGATTTCATGACCTTTCGTATCTGTCAATTGATCCATTTTTATGTTAACGTTAAACTTTACATTTTACAGTCTTGTATGAAATGCATTTGCTTCCATACTTATAAGATAATGAATCCACTCGGAGCCCTTTTCTCGAGGTCAAAAAAGTCACCGGACAGCTCCTGTCTTACTAGCAGAAAGGAAATTTCACACTTATTCTAATAAGTTTTTGTAATGAATGGATGGTTGCTAATCCCTTTCTATAATCTTGATCTGACTCGTTGAGATAAGATTTTAAAAAAGTGTGTTGAGTCGATTGTCAATGTTTCATAGTCGTTACCAACTTCATGCTACCCTTTCTTTTGCTGCATCACAGAGATGAGATTGAGTTGAAGCTGGAAGAATTGAAGCATGTTGAACACAACCTGAAGAACAAAGAAGAAGAGCTACATCATAGAGAGAACAAGATACGCGAATTCCAGAGCAACTACTACAAAAGAAAAGTGAGCAACGGATGCTAATAAATGCATTGCCTCATTTCTCCCAATTATACCATTAAATTATGTGGTGAGAATGTTATGCTTATCTGCCATTAATTGAAATTGCAGGTAGACCCTACTAACGTCAACACATGGGAAGAGGATGACGTGGTATCATGGGTAAATCAGTTGGATTGTCAGGACGGTACGTTTAGATCATCCACTTGTGTCTTGAAATATTTTATGCGGGTGGGGGGGTGATACGCCCATTTACACTGAGCATGTTTGTTTTTGATGGTTGGATCAACCATAATCAATAGACTTGTGGGTTTGCGTAAGTAAATCATTGGAATTGCGTGAATTATTAATCTTCCTGTTCAGGCAGATTTGATGGGATTCACTATAGGGCACGTGTGGTCATGTAATCAGCACATCAGTGCTCACTGCTGCTGAGAGGGTCTATGTCCCCCAGGGTACTGCTGGAACGTACCCTGGTACTATCTAATATGCCGGACCGTACATCGCCTACTCCACTAACAAGTTTAGAGGAGTCGCCTACTCCCTAACCCTAACCCTAACCCTAACCCTAACTCTAACCCTAACCCTAGCCCTAATCCTAATCCTAACCCTAACCATATCAGATAGTTACCAGGGTACGTTCTGGTATACCGGACCGTACCCAAGGTACGTTCCGGCAGTACCCTGGGGGACATAGACCCTATGAGCCTCACTGCTAGTTCTGAAACATCCAGTGACGTGTCATGAGTGACATGTCACCAGCTTGAGGAATGTTTGCACTTCTTTAGATAGATCAGGGTCAACTTATCTGGTTTGGATGACCACTCTTTGATATGTTGTCCAGGACCGATTTGCTGGCACTGCTATCAATTTAGATAGAAACTAATGGGCATAATGATTTTATCCTATAAATATATTTTTACTGAGCTGGGGAGCTCTGTTCTTTCTTCTTATCCCACAGCCACGCGACAGCGAGATCTGGGACAGTACAGCTCACTATTCAAAGTCAACAATATCGTGGGAAAGATGTTGTTAAAACTCAGCGAGGAAGATTTCAGGAGAATGGGCATCACGTCTTTGGGACATCTCTCTGAATTCCAGGTGCGAGGCAGAGATTTCATATGCAAATTAAGGATATGTCATTGAATCGTTAATGTTAGAAGAAAAGAGGAAAATATAATGATAGGGAATAGAGATACAAAATCTTGACATTGCTTATAACTGCCGTTATTTTGATTGTGGTTAAGACCATTAGTGTAGATATCATTAGCATATGTTAAAGGGTTCCAATGATAGCAGAATTTGTGTTCATGCGTTTTTTCTGTTCTTTGTATGTACAGGAAGAAATTGGTGCTCTTCGGTTACAAAACGAGAGTCTCCAACATTTCCCTCCGTTAGCGAGGGTGAGTATATTGCACTCTCTTCTTCAGTCTTGCTATGTGTGTTCCCTATTGGGTATATTATGAACCTGCCGGATCATCGCCATAAAACCTCTTTAATTACATGCAAAATCATTCAGCCGTAGGTACAGATACATCATACACTGTTTAGATAGCTCGCTCAAAATCAAATGACTTTAATAACCAATCGGTTAATCAGTAGACCTACCCACTTCCAAGCCTTGTGATAAAAACTATAATCTTCAGCAAACGTCGGCATGATGCACTCTGTTATATACACATAGCAATGCAGTACATGTTTCTTCATTCAAGCCTGCACTCTATAATGATATGTTGGACTGATGCTGACCCATGAGTTAACTATAATGTAGAAATTCTACTAGGAATTTCTTGTCGTGGTAATGACCGGCCCCACAGATCACAAACAGGACTCGGCTGTGCTCAACATCATACAAAGTGGCGGAGGGAATTCGCAAACCAAGCGAGGCAGTGACTAGCAAAAGCAATGTGAGAAACGATTGCAGGGCGTTTGATGTGAAGGCGATTATAATAGATGGCGCATTTTTTTAGACACGTAAAATATCGTCCGTCCCGTCTTCTACCGCAAAGAGCATCGTATTGATCTTCAGCTGCTGCCTCCGTGTTGGATTGGGACCCGATGTGAGTATCACCACCACATATCAATCTCTAAGCTTTAGTAAGGGCTTGAATTTCACGACGGCACTAATGCTGTCTGCCGTGTTTATCCTTACTTGCCATGGTGCCTTGGAAATTGGACAGTGTCCACGGCATTAAACCACTACTGGTGCTGCCCTACCTGGTTTTCTCTACTCGTACACTCTCCGTAAATTGTGTTAAGTATGTATACCACTCGGCTCTACATGAATTTGACCACCTTAATTTTACGTGTGTAGTATAATGCTATCCTCTGAATGAGCTAGTTTTGAGGAGCCACAAATATGGCCATAGTGTTATTTGTTATTTATTATTATTATTATTATTATACCCATTTTATTATTTGTTGTTGTGGGTGGTGCTTGTGATAGTTATTAATCAGAGTTTTTTTATGGAGCAGACTCTAATTGATAAACGGGACAAATACATGTAATTAGGATACAGGAATGGTGAACAGCGACAGAGCTTGGTAAACCCCAGAAGCTTTCAGAGATTGCAACATTCTTTACCCTGCCATGCCACCCATTTATAATAAGTTTTATAAAACATTGAGAATAAATCCACATTGTACTCATCTACATGCAAAGACAGTAAAGTTAAGGACTACTTCAGTGGAAAAATACACTTGATCCCATCCGTACAATTTACGTTTCCTGCTTCGCCTCAAATTTTCTGTGTGAAGAACCACAAATGGAAGATGTCTCTCGACGTTGACGAAGACGACAGTGATCTCTCACCAGCAGTATCGTGCATCAAAGATGTGCTGTTCGTCTGCAAGTTCCCGCCTTACACCGTGTACAGGTCTACTCAGGTACGCACGCGACTGTTTACCCAGGTGTCCGTATCTGCCGTTGACGTGCTTCAGGCTTCAGTAAATCAGCCACAGATTATCTGCAACTTTGAGAAGAGTCACCCTTTTCATATTTATTTGTGTGGTGTGGAAACTAGGTTATTTTGCAAAAAAACATGTAAACTATATTATGAACTGCAAACATACTCTAAACTAAACTATTGCTAAATTATATCGACATGTATTGCTAAGACCTTAGCAAGTATATTTTCCCATGTAGCAGCGCAGTTATGTAATTTATTATGTGATCTGTGAAGATGCAATCTGTCATCATGTAGATGTATATATTTTACAGGCATAAGTAGATTAGGTTACTTTACATAGTCACTAGCTATCGATTTTTTCTATAGCATTGCCACAGCATTTGCAGGGCAAAATCAAATGGCTGTGCAACTTTTTTTAGAGTCCCTACGTAATGGAAAAGTGGGGTGTTGGACTTGCAGAAGACAAGGAAATTGAATGCATTGTGAATTATGAGGTATGGTCATCAAGCAAAAATCGTGTACGCAAGTGTCCTATATACAAGTTGCAATTTAATTTACCACCAAAATCCCTCTACTGTATGTAACATGCTGTATTGTTGACATGGTTGATGTATATATTTACCGATTTTTTCAATGTGTCTGATACTCGTGCAGTGAATTGAACAGTCGACTTTTCGAGTTTTTGAGCTGCAGATTTTGATAGTACCCCAATATTAGTGCTATGTAGGAGAAATTTTTTAACAACAGGACAAGGTGAAGAAGCCGCGTAACACGAAGCAGATGTTCGCGGTGGCGGCGGGCGAGCCGCAGCCGTACATCCAGCCCCTGCAGCGCTCCGTCTGTCTCACCATGCAGAGCGTCACGTCAAACGTCGACGTCAACGGTGGCTCGGCGACGGTGTTGTCCGTGTTCACGCGCGAGTCGACGGCGCCCGAGCTCTCGGGCGTGTGGAGAAACCGAGCGAAGGATCACAGCCTTGTCATCAAGGGTGAGGGTTCGTGACGCGCGCTTCACCAACTGTACGCGGGCAAAAACTAGTCGCATCGCCGGTCCAATTCGTCGAAATTATGTCATCTATTTACGAGGATGTACAGTGGCATGCACTGTGAGATTCGTTAGGGGGCAACAATATGTTGGTGCTTTTTATCACGGAGGAAGAAACTGGTTCTTTCGTACTTTCGGAGCAGTATTATGAAATTGGACGAACATATCGCGATTAGTTGAGTTGTTATGCTGGCAGTGGTGCGTACATTGTCACGACATGGTACAGAACACCAAAGAACATACAATTTGTTAAATTGCAAATTAACTTTGTCGGAATTAAATTGTTTACTTGTGAGATAATATAATTGGATGATTTTATCATGGAGAAGGAAACTGGTTCATTCGGCTTTACTTTGTTAGGTGCCCCCTCCCCCCTTCGGGTAGAAGAGGGTTAACCGATCGCCGGCAACGTTCTATTGTTTTGGCCTCGCCTCTACTACTTCGAATCAAAGGGTGTTAGCAAACGGTTGGCATCGTCACTCCGACTGATCAAGTCGAATCATATTAAGTAATCATCTTGTTCTTTTATTTCAGCCTCGCCGCTCCTCGCCCGCCGCAACCAATCAATGGTGAGCAAGCGGTCGGCTACATCGCCCAACCTCACCGTGCCGCACCTCGACATCGCCACGGCAACCGGGACGTCTCCCGCGGCGAAGCCCCGTCAGGAGGTGTCCTTCACCCTCAGCTCGGAGGACGACGAGACGGACAGTCCGGCCGTTGCCGACTGGCTGGACGATCACTTTACAAGCGGAGGCAGGCCGCCGCCGCCGAGACTCCAGCGTCCGAAGAGCGCGAGGGATGTCGCTCCGAGACCGGTGGCGCCGGCGCGCAAGCTCTCGGTGCCCGCGGTGGTGGCCGCCACGATGCCGGCGGGCCCCCAGAGGGCGCCGTCGGACGACTCGAAGGACACGCTGACCGGCGGTGACGAGACGCTGCGCGAGTATCGCGCGCGATTGTGCTGCGTCGCCGTGCAGACTGACGCGGCCGCGTCGCCGGCGGCGGCGGTGTCGCGGCCGCGCGGAGGCGCCGGCGACGGGGCGCGGCGGGGGAAGACGCGGCAGAGACACGCGGAGCCCAGGCGCAGCAAGAGCGAGCAGCACGCCGAGTCGTCGTCGCCGTGGCGACACCGCGACGTGCCGCATCGCTCGACCAGTGACGAGCCGCAGCACCCGAGGAAGTACCCGTCGCCGCGGGCAACGCAGTCGCCGCGGGCAACGCAGTCGCCGCGGGCAACGCGATCGCCGCGCGAGAGCCGCGGCACGCCAAGCGTCCCTGAGGAACCGTCATGGCCGCCGCAAGTTGCCGACGACACGCTACACGTCCCAAACTGCAACGGTTCGTCGAGGTCAGCACAGGGTGACGTATGCGCGTTGGTGAACGACCTCGCGAGAAGCTCGCAGCCAGACCGGCACCACCACGCCGCGAAGCATCAGCACACTGCGGCGGCGGGCACAGGCACGGGAAGGCGGCAGGCGCACGAGAATCCGCACGACCACCCCGCGCACTACCGCCGCCGTGCGCAGCGCACGCTGTCGGGAAACTACAGCGGGCAGACGGTTGTCTCCGTGTCGCGCAAGGGTGCGTTCGGCCTCGGCGGCTGCAGCATGAACAGCATCGGAATCTACGGTGGCTGCGCCAAGTGGAAGCGCAAGACGTCGGACGCGAGCTGTGACCCGGAGGATTGACTTGACGCGTGCGCGGTCGCGTGGGAGGTAGGTGCCATTCATCTTGGCCTGTGCACCTCGTTTCGTGTCGGTGTTCGGCACACGATGGAACTTTTATTGTTGTGATCGAACGGTGTTTTGGAGGGTTTTGCAACACGATTAATGGTGGAATTCATTTCTGCATTTGCAAATCTTACACTGAATGCGAAAACACTGTGGAATGAGACTCACATGCTAAAGCATTTGTATATGCTATAACAAGTTCGCGGCGAAAGCTCACTGGACCTATTACTGCATTATTTCTAAATATTTTGCTTTTTTTCTATGTGATGTGATTTAATAGGCTGCATTTTTCTGCAGATCGTCTGATGATTGACAAGTGTTAAAAGAACTTGGGATGCATGCAGCTCAGTAATGCAACGGAGTCCATGTGTTTATGAGCAGAACATGTCCTCTGTTATACATGCGATGGGGATTGTGCATCCTTATATTACAGAGGCACACCAGATTCGACCTAATTTCGCATTAAATATGCAAAACAGCAGGAGGTTGCACCTAATTTACGGTCGGTACATTTACGGTCTGTTCTCAGGGCAACGAATACCTCATTCTAACCGGGTTTTTTGGTCAGTTATCTATATATGCCTTGTACGTGTTTACCCAAGTACAGGATAACACATATAATAGGAATATATACAATTAGCCCGGCAGATTTGTGAATGAATTGTGATTTTTATGATACAAGCATGAGTTTTGGCACACTGTTAGAGCATGCCCTAAGGAAAATTTTTGGCTATAGGGCCATCGCATATTTGTCCCATGGCAACAATGGCGGCCATTTTCCAAGATGGCCACCATCCAAATTCATTATCCTTCATTTTCAGCTAATATTCAACATAGAAACATAATCTTGGTGTCTAAACCAACATTATCGGGGTCAAGGAACACATTGCAATCAAAATCATTATCGGTCCGAGGCCGCCATCTTGAATTTCAAAATGGCCGCCATTCAAATCCATTATCATTTAATATTTCAGCAAATATTCAACATAGAAACATGATGTTTGTGTCTAAACCAACATTATCGGGGTCACACATTGCAATCAAAATCATTATCGGTCAGAGGCCGCCATCTTGAATTTCAAAATGGCCGCTATTCAAATCCATTATCATTTAATATTTCAGCAAATATTCAACATAGAAACATGATGTTTGTGTCTAAACCAACATTATCGGGGTCACACATGGCAATCAAAATCATTATCGGTCAGAGGCCGCCATCTTGAATTTCAAAATGGCCGCTATTCAAATCCATTATCATTTAATATTTCAGCAAATATTCAACATAGAAACATGATGTTTGTGTCTAAACCAACATTATCGGGGTCACACATGGCAATCAAAATCATTATCGGTCAGAGGCCGCCATCTTGAATTTCAAAATGGCCGC